GGAGGTACGTATGGTGGTGGAGTTGGCGGTCTTGGTGGTTGTGGAGCCGGAGGTACGTATGGTGGTGGAGTTGGCGGTCTTGGTGGTTGTGGAGCCGGAGGTACATACGGTGGTGGAGTTGGCGGTCTTGGTGGCTGAGGAGGAGACGGAGGTACATAGGGTGGTGGAGTTGGCGGTCTTGGTGGTTGAGGAGGAGATGGAGGTACATAGGGTGGTGGAGTTGGAGGTCTAGGTGGTTGTGGAGGAGACGGAGGTAAATATGGTGGTGGAGTTGGAGGTCTAGGTGGAGGAGTTGGAGGTACATAGGGTGGTGGAGTTGGAGGCCTAGGTGGAGGAGTTGGAGGTACATACGGCGGTGGTGATGGAGTTCTCGGTGGCTGTGGAGGAGGTGGTGGTACATATGGTGGTGGTGTTGGTGGTCGTGGTGGAGGTGGGGGTCTAGGTATTGGAGGTGCTGGGGTTTTTGGTGGTGGGGGTAAATACCCTGGTGGAGAAGGTGGAAAATGTGGCCCAGGTAGAGGTTGAGGTGACGTTCTTGGAGGCTGGGGCGGGGCGGGTGGCCTTGGAGTTTGAGGTGGTTGAGGAGGCAGAGGTGGTGGTCGTGCTGGAGTCCTTGGTGGTGGTGATGGAGGTCTTGGAGTCGGTGGTTGTGGTGGCGAAGGCGGTAAATATGGTGTCACCGGTGGTCCCGGTGGTGAAGGTGGTCTTGGAGTTTGTGGAGGTAAAGGTGGTAGCGGTGTTCTCGGCGGTTGTGGTGAGGGAGGTAAATACGGTGTTGATGGTCCAGGTGGTGGTGTTGGTCTTGACGGTGGAGGAGGTGGATGTGTAAATGGTGGTGATGGTGTTGGATAAGAATAACCAGTTGATGGCGGTCGTGCTGGTTGCGCAGTATATGGAGGTCTATACGGTGGTGGAGTAGGAGGTCTTGGTGTCTGTGGTGGAGAAGGTGGTGGTCCATATGGTGGCGGGGTAGGAGGTCTTGGTGGAGGAGACGGAGGCTCATACGGTGGTCTTTGTGGAGGTGTTGGAGGTCCATAGGGAGGTGGCGTAGGAGGTCTTGGTGTTTGTGGAGGAGATGGAGGTCGATATGGTGGTAGAGTATGAGGTCTTGATGTTTGTGGAGGAGATGGAGGTCCATATGGTGGCGGAGTAGGAGGTCTCGGTGGAGGAGATGGAGGCTCATACGGTGGTCTAGATGGAGGAGAAGGAGGTTCATATGGTGGTCTTGGTGGAGAAGTTGGAGGTCCATATGATGGCGGAGTATGAGGTCTTGGTGGTGGAGATGGAGGCTCATACGGTGGTCTTTGTGGAGAAGTTGGAGGTGCATATGGCGGTGGAGTAGGAGGTCTTGGTGTTTGCGGAGAAGACGGAGGCCGATATGGTGGTGGCGTAGGAGGTCTTGGTGTCTGTGGCGGAGACGGTGGCCCATATGGTGGCGGCGGTGGAGTCCTTGGTGGCTGCGGAGATGGAGGTGGTCGATAAGGTGGCAGCGTAAGTGGCTTTTCAGGTACTTGATAGTCATATCCTGGAGAAGGCCTTGGCCTGAAAATATATTTATATGTTATGATTTTAAGTACATTTTCGTCTAATGACATCAAGTATTTCACAATTTTGTATATTCAAGATTTAACCAATACTCACTGCGTTGGCCGAGGTGTAAATCCCGGTGTTGTTCTAGGGCGATCAGTGCTTGGTGGAACATAAGATACTGTCTGAGTTACTGTTGGTCTGTAAGTTGTTTTACAGTTGTATTAGTGATCATATTACCTATATTATAATAATCTAAATTTACATATGTGATAATCAATGTCACGACATCGACAATCGTACGTTTGAAGTTTAATTTTTGATCAATCCTTACCGTGGTGGAGTTTGATAAGAATAAGGCGGTGTACGTGGTGTTGTAAATGTCGGAGGTGTTGAATATGAATATGATGTAGGACGTGATGTGCTTGGTGTCCTGTATGGTATTGGCGATGTTACTGTCGGTGTTCTAGACGCAGAAAAATATTTGTACAATTGATGAGACTGTAATCAGTGCATTAAATTCATTCCTGCTTGTTATAATTATGTTAATGGATCTACAATTAATTTTACACAAAATCAATGTAATCAATTCTTACTGTGTTGGTAACGTGAATATCACATCTGGTTGCGGATATACATAGCCTCCGTTGCTTGCTATCGCTCTTTTGCTCTTCTCACTCGATGCTTGCGCATGGTGTGTGGAGAGCACTGCCACTATTGTGGCAATCCACAGGATTCGCTGGATTAGAAAATACAAATTATTAATACCAGCCATAGAAACCAAACCACTTTACACCTACACGTATGTATATTCATTCTCATTCGGATATATCAGTGATAATGATCTCAATTATTAAACTGAATAAAACGTATATGTATGGATATCGAAATATGTGTATTTGTCACCATGCAATTGGTTATAATATGTTGAAAACCGTCTTCGTGGGATTATCTCACGCCTCACCGAAGAATCTCTTACATAATTTTGTCTCGATTACGATGTACCATGTGCGTACCGGTAATCGTGAAAGGTTCGTTCGTATGAAATGCAGCGCACAGTGCGCCATCGATCATCACTTTATCTTCAAAATTGTCATTTTCAATTTTCAATATCCAATTGCCGCTGTGATTAATGTTTTCTAATCCTAATATTTTCTACATCTCGATATCATCGCATCATAAACCTCACACATATATCCAATTTCACCATTTTAACTCGCGTCGCGACTTTTATCGCCTTTCTGTAATAACAAATATTTGTCCGTTACATCCGATACACTCTACATTCCGCGAGAAAAATATGCTCATTCGAATGCGAGATTCTACATTGTCGAAGAGCATTCGTATCCTGTACGTATGTATACATCTTCTCAACGAACTATCGGATGTCTCAAATTAAACAGACCATAATGACGCACTCGTGATTACGTTTCGTTAAGGAGCGTGATAAATCAGACGGAGCTGATGGAAATCTCGTTACCCAGAAATTAAAACCGCCTTATCTCGTTTGCCACATCTTAAACGAGGCAGCGAATGATGGTTCTGGCTCGAAGAAGCGTCCAGTGACCTTTAGATGTATAATTTATATAGGAGGAGATCGCGCGGGCTATGGGGGAGGGATTCTCCTCTAGTGTCTCTCCGCCAGTATGTGAAAGGCTCTTCTGACGTATAAGTGGTGTCACGACTGTTGGATTTGCGGAACAACCGATACAGATCACAAGGTTACCGTTTTCTTGAGAAATTTTGAGATCTCACGCTTTCGTTTCAGCTGCTTTCAGCTGGCGCTAATGAACAAGTCCTTGACTTCGCGAAGGATTTCGACGATGTCCCTGACAATCCGTAGGAGTGTAATTCATGCAAAGGAACGCGTTTGCTATTCATGATTATTCATAGGATTGACATATTTCGTGTCGATTACGTTGAAAAGAAGTCACATTTCCTTCCAAATTTTTGTAAATTTCTGAATTACCTTTGAACGTTTCTCGTTTCGACTTCATGGAACTTCTGTACAATGTGTTGTTACCACGTGAAAGAAGGAAATATTTATTGTAAAAAGTGAATTATATGTTTATATCGAATCACTCGTGTCAAAGATTTGGCCTAAAGAAGACAGTGATGCTTTATTACTGTATACTTGTTGAAATAATACCGCTAACATTTTAATTCATTACGTTCCATTAATTTGCATTATGCAACCTTCTTGATGCATAGCAGTTATTATATTTGGGACTAGCAAGAAGTTCTACACTTTGTAAGATGTCGGCGCGAATAGTTCAAACAATTACGCACATTTTAGCAGCCTCATTAACGTTTTATTTGCACCTAGAGAAAGTTGCAAATTGTATGGCCAGACGAATGTCTTCTTCTGAGTTCTAATGAGAAACCAATATGACAACAGCTTCCTATGGGTCGGCAGTTCGTGTGGCTCGAGGTGCAAAACTGTGTCGTAATAGCTAGAACTGGTTACAATTCCTTTTGATTGCTGCTTGGCTCGTCTTTCACGTAGATAAAATGACAGACACTTTTACGAATGCATTGCGCGCCATGCAGAAGTGACACATGATTACCGTGACTATATCGACAACATTTAAAATCAACTAAAAGTACTTGTTGCAAAAATGTATTGAATAAAAGATTAGTGCAGAATATGAATAATCATCTGAAACGTAAACCTAATTCTACCAAATATTGAAGCTTACCAATGTAATGAATAATGGACCGTCTGCAAAAAATTTTATTTTGTAACATTTATGTACATTCTTTTTGGATTTGTTCTAAACGTTGCTTCGAAATATTATCACCGACATAATTGATAATTGATAATTGTCATATCGCGTGTCAAACAAAATTTTATATTTCATTTCGCGTACATTTAGTAGTGGTTCAAGAAATCTCTACCTTTCGAATGTTTAAGAAATTTTTGCAGCTTCCGAGAAGATTCACTGTATTGAGTAATGGCATACCATGACATCATACAAGAAGCAACAGAAAATAATTTTTACTTCGGATTTTCTATTATCGAACACCTCGTTTATCATATACGACAATCAAATGATTTATCTTCGGTCGACTTGAATCGGATTGACAAGTCCCGTTCGATAAACGAACGGTTCGATCAAGCACAGTAGGCGCGTCTTGCGTAATAGCGCGTCTTTCGTATTAATAAAGTCCGAGCCAACGTCTTCGAGAATATGGCTTTCTAATTATCCTGCTTCGTGTGCTGTTAATGCGGCTGCTCATTAAACGAAGAAAGAAACACCTACGGCCTTTTTGTAACTCGCGAGACGTGCAACGAAAATAGCAATCGGGTAAAAGTAAAATTATTTTCACGAGAACGGAGGGGGATGGCAAGCGGATTTCTAAGTGGAACGAGCATAAATTCACTCTAATTAACGCGCGACGAATGCTCACGTATTATAGAGTGATTCTCGTTCTAATTTCGCGTGATACCTGGCCGTTTCTCAATTGTTCTGTAAATTAAACAGATGGATGTCTAGAATTGTTTATATATAACGAGATAATTATTCAGACCGTATAAAAATGAAAGTAAAAGCAGCGGGATGGTTGAAAGTTTCAAATGTCGATGAAAAGTAGTAACAATCATTATGTTGTTATCGTGTCATTGTACAGTTAGATGACGTCGACATTTCCTAAGTGTCTAATTTCACAACTAAACTAGTATACATAAACTGCCAATATTATAAGAATAAGAGATTGTCAATTATTAATTTTTAATATACAATGGAGATTAGCAGAATATTTCGTCTTAATATTTACACTTTGCTCTTTGAAATTGAAATTGATCGAAAGAATGGCCCGATTACAATCGTAAAGCATTTGATTATTTGTACTTATTAAATTGCAATTTTTATGAAAATTTTTGAAAACGTAGACTGTAGATAAAAAATGGTATTTAATGTGTTAAATATTATAAAGAACATTATACTTTGAAATTTCCCATAAGTTCGTAAAAATCTACAGTCTACTAATTATCAATAACTAAAAGAATAACGACGTAAAAATTCTTCTTGGTTCCCAAAGAATTTTATTAACATTTTCCATGAAAAATGAATCAAGTGGAATTTAAAAAGCAGGATGAAACACGTATAAATTTATAAGAAAATCGTATAATTCATTAAACAATAATAAAATCTTAATATTTCAATAAACGTGCTCTCAGAAAAGTTCCGACAGCCTTTCTAAAAATTGTCTAAAAATATAGTGTGGTTACCTTGATATCTCAAAAGCGAATCAACGAAAGAATGAATCCAACTCGTGAGCACGACTATGCTTTTCGTGAATGTGCAAGCCGATCGATCGACGATACCACGTCACGAATTTCTCGCGGCTCGTGCCGATGAATTAAACAGGGCAGACCACTGTCACGCGTCGCGATGCGCGAAAAGAACGCACGTCGTCGGAGAAAGTTTCCACGATGCACCGCGATGCTCGCTCCCCACTCACGTAATAACGCATGTAACCGTGGCAAAAAAAAAAAAAAAGCAGGAATGCAGCGAAAAGAATCGGAGAACGATGAACACGGCAAAAGATTCGCGTACTTTTCCTAATTACCATAACAACGATCGAGTTCCGTTCCATTCCGGGCTGAGCAAAAAATCGTCGGCGTCTTGCTTTTTGTCGCGACAGCGTTTGTACAGGGAGACATAGCAAACGGCATTCTACGACGTGATTTTATCGTACAACGACCCCGTCGAGTAAAAATCAGTGAAAATATTTCCTTTCTATCGCGGGGACAATGTAACGTTTCTATCTTTTGCATTTCAAGGAAACCGTTGTTTGTTTTCTTGAGAATAATAAACTTTCCCCCTTTTCATCTTTTACTGCGAAGTGTTTCATTCGAAGAACAATACGGATTTTTATACGGGTGTCACTCTGCGAAGTTCACTAGAAAGGAATATTGTAATATGAAAATGGAGAAATCAGCTCGGTGAAACAATTGATAGTAAGTTTCATAGAAACCAAAGATATAAATATTAACGCTAGAACTACCAAGGACTAAAGAATTTTCATCAGAGATATTAAAGTGAAAAAAATAGAAATACACTAAGTAAAAATACACTATTTTGCATCTTAAATATATATATATATAATATATTTTATATATATAAAATAAAAAAATAAAAATATTAAAAAAATATTAATTATATATATAAAAAAAATAAAAATACACTATTTTGCATCTTAAATATATAAATAATATTTAAAAAATATATATTTTGACCACTTCGATAGTTCTAGTGTTAAACATTATGACGAGAAATATTTTTGAGATTTATGAAAGGAATAAATAAATATTCAACAGCAGAACACTAAAATCGAATAAATGAACAATTTTGATAACTTAATAGTATCAACTTCTCCTCGTAAAGTGGAAAAATGTTTCGACTAAACGTTAAATACATTTTGAGTAAACGATCTTCGCCTTCGCTCGACGTTTCCAATTGAACTAACGAACAAAACTCGTCAAACATTTAACACACAAGTTAACAAGTGTCGTCTTGTTCACCGTTCAAACGATATCGTTGTTCTAGCTAAAGTTCAGTGACGCAACCGAAGGAACGTGTACACGTTATGTCCCACGAGTCTCATCCGCGCTGGTCACGAATCACCGAACCGACCGAGCTACCCGTGGATCCTTTTCGGGAAAAGGTTGAAGGTTTCGTGAACGAGCGTTATAACTATTACGTAAACGAAGTTATAACTCGGTGCCTGGATCTC